TCCTTTTTTCAAAAGACTGCAAAAAAAGATAGAAAGTAGTAACACTCAATTTGGGGTTTTCTGCGATGTATGTATAATATTACATTTAAACTCTGATACCTTGGTAATCTGAGAAGCTTTTAGGTTTTGATTTGATTGAATATTAATCTTGTGTATGCATGATTATGAGTTTTATGTCCAATATTTAAAGGGCTTTGGGAACCTCCAAGTAACAGCTATACCTTCATGTATTTTCAGTTCGAAATATTACTTGTGCCCATACAATGCACTTATACCAGATGTTCAATGAGCTGCAAATGACAATGTCACTTTGATTTTCACATATTGCAGTCTAGCTGAGTACCCAATCAGACTATCGTTATATGTATTAGTTACTGTCATTGTTTACATGTGAGCTTAATGGTTTAATATTGACCTTTACAATCAACATAGTCTTGATACCAGCTCTAAGCATGTTCATTCTAAGTTATCTTTGTATCTAGGCTTGGAGCATGTTTAGATTTTGCAGGGTAGTAGCAAGAGAGGAATTCTAAATGATTTGATGCAAGTAAATATATAAGCAAACCTCCGCAATACCAGTATTGCTAGAAATTGTATCAAATGTGAAATCTTTTGCATTAGTAGTATATTTATCCCAAGTAATCTAGGCATTGATTAAGTGGAAAAAAATATAAAGAAAGAACTCAACATATCATATTTGAAGAACTTCTGTAAAAAAATAACAAATAAAAGCTCTTCCCGATTGATACTGGTAAGTCAAAATCACTAGAAGAGGGATTGGATGACACTTGGGGCCCCAAATTTTAATTCAGGACCCCCCCTTCCCCTTCAGAGTTTTAACAGGGGCCCACATGCTCAACCTACAAATTAGAATGCATACCCGCTATAGAGTCCATTAATATAGGAAAGAATGCCCTAGCCTCATTATTGGGATGTGGTCAAAGTTATGTCAATAATTTGTAAGTTGACTTTTATCATCACTAATCCCACTTAAGTAGATTAGAGACATCTGAATGGGAATCCATTACCTGATGTTTGTGCGTGGGTTTGGGAAGTTAGACCTGTTCACACTACCCTGCAAGATGTACACATCATGATCCCTGAATGCGTATGCCTGGTGGATGTGGATCATGGCATCTTGAGCTTGCAGCAGATAGGAAATAGATTGTCAAATAGAATAGAACTGCTCAGATTCTGGACTTGGTTTTACACATGAAATGCTAAGTGCCTCAAAAGATGCCAAGGTTATTAATATCCATTCTATGTGTAAATGAATGGCAAGTGAGGGTTAAAAAGAGAGCTTTGTGCAGTGAAGGTCTCATCAAATGTTTCATTGTATTTGTGACTTTTGTCCCATGAAATAAGGAAATATGTATAATAAAACATTAAGTATAGCTACATATATATTGTATTCTTATCCGTCCCAGAGAAAGCTCAATGTACAGGTCTACAAAGTACTATTATTACACCTGCCTTAGCCCCGTTGCCCAAAAGCATTCAAGGAATAAATTCCTACCAGTGGGAGTGTCGTGGTCAGTGGTTTAAGGCGCTTGACTGTAAATGTGAAGGTCGGTGGTTCGAATCCCGACACGGCACTAATATCCTTTGGCAAGATATTTACCTGCACTTGCTACTCTCCACCCAGGTGTTAAATGGGTACCCGGTAGGATGTGAACGTTCATGTGGTTGGACGAGCAAGTGTGCGCCTGTAAATGGCGACTGGCTGGAATGCTCCCCAGGTAGTGGAAAATGTGCACATATTGTGTGCGGGTAAGCCTGAATAATAATAATAATAATACAATATTTATATAGCGCAAAATAAACATAAGTTTCTCTTTGCGCTGTACAAGCATATATATATAATCACATAAAATGAATCAACACAGAGAAATATAAAAATCTTATACCACTAAAATGACTAACTTAACATAGTAAATAACATAACAAAGAGATAGCTAACATAGTCAAAACAAAACAAAGAACGTAAGTAAGGATAGCTTAAACTAATTAATTAAGGCCAAAGAGGTGCGTTTTTAGTGAAGATTTGAATGTTGCAGAAGTGGGTGCCTGTCGTATGAAATTGGGGAGATTGTTCCAAAGGTTTGGTCCAGCAACTGCAAATGATCTGCCCCCATAGAATATAGTATTGGTTTTTGGTACACAAAGTGACTGGGGTAATAATATATCTGTAAAGCGCTTAGGCACATCGTTGGATCGGTGTATTGAGCGCTATATAAAAAAACAGATTATTATTAACCAGCGCAGCTGAATATATTTTGTATAAAAGCTGCGCTATATAAATTTATTATTATTATTATTATTATTATTACCAGGTACACATTTACTACACCTTGGTGGATAATGGCAAATGTATATTAATATCCTGCTACAGGGCATCAATGCTGCACTCGTGATCCACCGTCCGATGATGTATCTTTTAGACCATGACACCTCTATATAAAATATATGTTCTTATTACATCTTGACTCGGCTGTACTTTTAGGGAGTTCATTGCATCTCATGTGATCAGGGCTGTAGGGATAAGGAAAGAGAAAGAATAATAGTAGTGTTAGGGAGGTCTAATCAGCTTGGAGTAATAGATAAGGTCTAATGGGATTCTTTTTTAAAGAATAGACTTGGGAAGGTAAATGAAGTTTAAGTAGGTTTAAGCTCAGAGTCATTACAATGTTAGCAAATATTTGGTGTGGAGTTTATTGAGGAATAATATGTCTTCTTTTTGAAGGGAAAAGGTTGCTTTTGATGTCCCTTGTAAGGCATTTCTTGGATTGTTGATTGAGAACTCCAAAGTCACTTTGTGGATTATTTTCCAGAGAGAGAGAGAGAGAGAAGAGAGTTGAATTTATATAATCCTAAGCTGTCGTTTATGGTACACGTAGAATGTTACTCAGTGCAGGAATGTTAAAGGAGATGAGAAATATTTGTGTAAGAATAGAGAGAAGTTGGAGGGGGAGGGGGGTCAGGGAAAAACAGACATGAAAGAAGGCAGAAGAGAGACTTATATAAAGAGGTAAAGACAGAGAGTGAAAGTGATGTATACAGAGACTCGTCTGTATGCATCAAGGGACAAATTATGGTGAAATAACAGAATAACAATTAAGATTGCTTGATTTATTGAGAAAGGTGGAGATATATATATATATATATATATATATATATATATATATATATATATATATATATATATATATATGATGAGAGAGAGAGAGAGAGAGAGAGAGAGAGAGAGAGAGAGAGAGAGATAGAGGGAGAGAGATTATTTTGAAGGTAAGGTATGAATATATGAATAAGGTGCAATGGTCAAATGACTCTAAATCAGTATACTGCCATCTTGTGTTCAAAGTTGTCATGTTTCTACAGTTTTAGTTAAAAGAATCTGTATTTTTGTTGTAGAAATAAACTTTTGCTATCAACTCTTTGGCAAAGTGTTTTGTGCTGCTGCCCTCACTAATAACAAGGAGTACACCCTTTGAAGTACATTCTGACAACATTTAATGATTTGAGGAAAAATAGGATTGTAATCATTGTATATCTTGGCTCTAATAAACTATTTCCAAATTGTTGTTATTATTTTTTTTATCTCAAGTGTGTTTAATGACATTTAGGCAGTTTATAGTAGTTATGAAATCAAACAGAATTTATCACTTGAACAGTTCACTTTAATGTAAACATACCTAACTGTGCAGTATGAGGGAGTGGATAGAAATGTTTTGCGTACCTCTGAATGCACATAGGGTTAAGTTCAAAAGATATATCAGTTCATGAATCCAGTCAGCAACTGTTATCATTGAAGAAAAGCATTTGTGACATGTATAAACACATCATGATTGGAAAAATCAGATTTTCATGATTGCAGAAATATTATTTAAGTAAAAATCCTCCCCACAAAAAAGAAATGGAAACCTTCTTCCAAAAATCTAGGATTTTTTAGAAAGTGATGGTAACTTTATAGTTGGATATTGGAGTTGTAGGCATATATTTGGTCAAGAAAATATAAACATTTGAAGTTTGTAAAGCAATCTGTATATCACATCAGCTTATTGCTTGTGTGAGGACTCTCACCAGTCTGACAAAGAAGATTTTGTTCTTTTGTTTGATTATCCATGAGAACATATGACATTCATTAGCCTTCATTTCAGCATTTGAAAGAAGTTCAAATATACCAACCGTTTGCTTTTCCTCTCCTATCTGTCAGAAGTTGAATTATATTATTTGGATTCTATTCAAATGAAAATGAGAAATTGGTCAGCTAAGATATTTAACCATTCTTGTTGAACATGTTGAAAGATGAGCTTAAGAGCAGTCTCATTTTACAACAAGAGTTCTTTATATGCTAGACATTCAATCTATGTTACTGTCAAAAGGTAGATTTCATAGTCAATATTCACATGAAGGATTTCAATATTTGAAGAGGTGCCCTTCTCGCTCCATGCAAGCACATGATTTGGGGTTATCAGTTACTGTTGGCTCTTAAGATTTTGCATATTATACATTTAATTGACTTTGGAATAAATCAATCATAGCCATAAGATTGCATATAACTTTTCATTTACATTGGTAAGTTTTCTGAATATTTGCACTTGAGCTTTATTTTTTCTGTATTGTACGTTGGATTGGCATCAATGACAAAACTTTTAAAAAAAAGCTAGAAGTAGGGCATCCCTCCTTTCTCAGTTTTCAAACTCTACCAGGTACCAGCACGTAGTCTGTTTGGAGCCAGAAGGGCATGTTCCCTGTGTTGAAGTAGACATTCTTCAAAAATTACAATTAGGTCATTAATTTATCACTAGAAACCAGGAAGCTTGCATATGATAATTGTATAAGTTTTAGATCAACTGCGTATTGGACAATACAAAATTGACTCTAACATGTTTTTTATAACTGTGTAACATTGTAATGTTATTGGAGTGTTGTTTTTGTTTTTCTTCTATTGCCTTTATCATTTACATTTTTTCTTCTTTTTTATGTTTTTTCTTCAGATGTTCCTTTTGTCACAAGAAAACCAGAGAAGAAAGGTAAGAAATCTCATATTATTAATGATGGCATTGTTTAAACTTACTACAAAGAGATTTCTAAATTGACAAATGAAATAGCTTTTTTATAAAATGTAACAATTAGTGCAAAAAAGAAATTGTTAGCAAGTGCAGTGACTGTATTTTAATCTCTCAAAAAACACTTTCAAATTGCACGTAAATATTTTGCAAAGTACCGGGTACATTAGCATTTAATTTTCACAATATGTGATGATGTGCTGATTTACAAAAAAGGTTATTTCATGAGAAATTTGTAATTCCCTAATGTTTTAACACAATAACAGCTTTAACGTCATCTCATATTTCGTTCCTATTTTCACGAAGTGAGGAAAATCTGCACGCAAATTGTATGCGATTTTCATTCACCACCGTCACTTCGTGAAAATAGGGACGATTTGTTGGAAGTCCTTAAAACGATTGTTCATCAAGTTATTATCATTTCATCATTTTTATTTTACAATGTACACTTTATTTTCTATGAATAACAATTCAGAAAAAAAATGCTTATTCAATGGTGTCTTGTTGCACAATTTTGCTCTATTTTCTCCATATTCTATTGCTCTTTGGGATATTTTCTCATAGTTATAAACACACCGATACAAGTTTGGTGTTATTCTATGTTATCAAGGGAAAGAATCAAATTGAGGTTAGCCTTTTATAGCGGTCCTGTGACCTATTTCGGACCTTTATCACAAAGCATTCATCAACCAAGCCAATTTTTTGACAAGATCTGATGCCCAGAGGGTCAAGTTTTCTCAATATTTTTCTCTCTTTCCTTTTAAGTTCCTCATTGTACATGCAAGCTATTCTATTTCATGTATAACTTGCATTTGAGAAGTGACAAATTACTTTTGTCAGTCATTAAATTGGCAACAAAACTCTTGTTGAAATGGGCATATTGTTATTAAATCATAAGTTAATGGTGTATACCATTATTTGAAAGATTTTGTAATTCACATAAAAAACTTTTTAATTAAAAAAAAAACAAACTTGAACTTTGAAGGGCAAAAGACTTAAAATTTCTTGACAATATACCGGTAGATAATTGTCAATGCCATTTGCTAAAATTTGAATATGGTGTGAAACGTCTGTTACAGATGATAACAGCTATCTGCTATATTCATTTAGAGTTTATGAATTAACTACTGGTATATCATCAGTCATTATCAATATTATTTTGAGGAAATGACACAAATTTAATCGAATCAAATTGAATATTCAATACTAACATTCTAGATCAATTATAAAAGTTAAGCCTTCAAATATCAATATCAAATTGTTCTACTGCAGTGTTTACAGATGTTATCTTTTTAAATTTAAAATAAAGACATACTTGGCTTGTGCCTCTGCAGCTGACAGAAGATTTGTTGCTTTACACCAGAAAAATTTGTAAAACATGATGTTTACACTAATGCAGCAATCCATCATAAAATCACAAAAGACCCGCTGAAATTAAACCATTTAACCTTGAAAAATCAGTTTGAATCATATGATGGGGAACAAATGAGCTGAATGGATTGCGAGATAGTAATGGTGAGATATGACTTCGAGCGTTTCTCTTAATCTTTCACATTTGTATTGATGTTACTTAGTCATCTTATCTGAAAGATTACAACCCCCTCTGGATCAAATTCCATATATTGTGTTGGTTGATATCGTACAAAAACAACATAGTGTTCTTTCAGCGGTGAAAGGTAGTAACAGCCATTTGAAATATCTGGGAAACAGATAATAAACAGAAATATGCTAAAATCTTTGATACTGACAATGAACATCAAACTGCATGAAATGTACGCTGTTATTGAGAAGTGAGAAACTAGAAATCAATAAATGAAACCTTCATTAGATTATAAAAGTCTTTTATAATATGTTTGGGAAGTATGTATCAGAACAACCACTCATTAATTTGTTATTTTTGCCTGTTCTTTAGAATTGTTATCCATCTACAGTGTACGTTGTTTTATTAGATTTGGTGCTGTGTAACGAGAAGTATATTGCAAAGTGTTTCAGTTTGAATATGCATTTTTCTGGCTCGAAAAGGAGCTCATTTTGCCGATAATATTGTCAAGTGGCTGATACAACCTTTCAGACTTGATCATGAAAAGAAACTGTTATAATAAAGTGGTGTTCTTATGAAAACATAGTGGTGACAGCACAGATAAAAGACACATTTATTGTTAGCAGTGATTTTTGTGTTGGTGTAGAGAACTAGGGACCATCTTGTATTCATCCTTCGCTTGAAAGGAGAGCAAAGTCCATAAATGGCAGATTTGTAAAATTATTGCTGGGAATTGCCAGGATAAGGTAGAATTCCATGATGCTCAGAGAGAACTGCAGAAGAAATATTTGTATTCTTTGCCATTTTCTTGCAATTGTTTTAGCTGAAATGTTCCTGTAATCCCTGTATCTCTCTCAATTTGGTATTTAGGGACAAACTAACAAATAAATTGGAAAGGTAAAACATGAAGTGCAGCATTCTAGAAAGTTCAATTTAATTCAATTCAATTTAAATGTTGTTAAAAATATCTCTTTAAAATATGTATCTCAACTTTTTAAAGCTTTCAATCTTAACTGTAAATGTTGGATTGAGCCTGAGGGGCACTCAGTTGGCACAATGTTCATGTGCAAATGTAAACAAGTGTGGAGACCTCCATCTTTAAAAGCACGACCATGAGTGACATGACATGACATCATTTAGAAATGAATTAAAGGGAAATCCACTCTGGCATTGTCTTGAACTGTAAAACACCAGAACAAAATGAATGAAACAGATAACAAGTGAAATTCAAGTAAGATCTGATAAAGGGTAAGCAATTATTTAAAATAAATAATAATGACAATATGTAAAAGTATCATCTCTAAGTGCTACACAATGCTTTACAGAAGTGGGGGATTTTTATTTATGAGTAAACTGGAAAGTGAATAATTTATTTATCATTTATACACTGTTAAAAAGCCTGCCGTCAGCTGAGAGTTATTTTGGAGTGTTAGAATGCTGTGGGCCAGAAAAGCATTAATTTGATTTATTTTTTAGTAAAAGAGCAAGAAATTAGAAAACTTGAATATTAGATTTGCATAATGAGCTACAATTTACATAAAATGCTGCTCAAACTAAACTTTAAATGGGTAATTGATGAAAGCAATCACGTATTCTTGTAAGCAAGGACATGATTAAATTCATTTATTCTATGCCAACAGACATAGAATACATTGACAGAGAAGGTTCATTACCATAAGTATTCAGTTTCCCATCACAAACTGTTCTTATTACCCAGGGGTGAATAGTCACATCAATGCTGTGTTCATACATCTGTTACATGAATAAGGATGTTTGTAACAGTGTTTTGAATTGTATCCCTCTCTCGTGTATGTATTTGTAATTTGAAATATGACAAGCTAGAAATAAAGTAAAAACTGCAAAGTGGTACCTTTTACAGGAAGGCTACTTGTCTACAGTGGCCATTTGTTGACCCAGTAAATGATATGAGGCAATGTCTTTTTGGCTCTCAACTATATGTAAGGCAGATACTTTCTTGAACAGGCTATGTGTTTGTAGTGGCCATTCCCCTATGGTGGTCTTTATAGATATGTTTTTTTTTTTTGTAGATTAATTCTATGGTACTGGTAATTCTGTCAAAAGTAATATAAGTAGCAGCAGTAGTATTACTCGCATCAATAGTCGAAGCAGCAGCAATGTTCAAGAGATGGTTTTGTGGAATGCTCACATATGAAAGTAACATTACGTGAGTGTGAATACCATTCAACCTACAACTATGTGAAGCATGAGTCATGGAGAGGCGATCCCGCGATCTGCGTAAAATGAAACGAAATTGATTGAATGCCGGAGCAGAGAATCCAGTCTCCGCATCGATAGACTCATCATGTGTGTCTCAAATTTTTGCTTTGGATGACTAAGGCTGATAAAGCAGTGCTGATCGATCGCCTTTGTCGCTCTTTTTTCTTGAAATTTGTCATTTAAGGGCTTTCATGAAAATGATACAGTCATTGCAGGGGTGGAATATGTTTGTGAATCAAAATAAGAATATGTTGGAGTGTATCACTGTTTTTAAATGGAGATGGAGAAGAAGAAATGTAAATAAAAGGAAATGGGATGGAGAGGGTTTGGAGGATTGGAAATTGATATGTGGTGGAGAAAACAGAGGTAATGGATTTATAGTTGTTTTTACCTGAGAGGAAAGGAGAAAATAGGGAGGATAATTGGTTACTACGGTGATAAATGCTTTCGCTGGGAGGGTATTGAATCTATTTGGTATTGGCAAAGAGGAAGAAGGAAAGGGTTGTAGAGGAAATGAAAGAGAAGAGAGAATAGACGGATACAGTTGATTGAAAGAGGAAGAAGGTATAGAGGAGAGAAGGGAAGGGAGAGGAGGACAGATTGGAGGGATGGCTTTATAGAGGAGAAAGACAAAAGTAAATGAAGAGAGAGGGAATGAATGAATAGGGAGAGAGAGAACGAATGATAAGGGGAAGGAGATCTGAGATGAAGAGACGGATGGAGAGAAACACAAAATGGAAGGAGCTAGGAAAAGGAGAAATATTAAGACTGAGTGAAGGAGAGAATAAAAGAGAGTGAGAAAGAGAGACATGTTTTAGAAAGGAGAGAGAGTTGGAAAAAGGATTTGGTGACAGGTGAAGAAGAATGAATCGAGAGGAAAGGAGAGGAAAGAAATAGAGAGTGGTTAGAGAAACAGGATAATGGAGCCAAGAAGGTGGTAACCATAGAAACAGGTTGCCCTTAGATACCACTTACCAGGCTCATGTTACACACTCTTGAACATTCTTCACCCTCTCAGACAACATCACATAGCATGATGAGAGTCAAAAGGGCTCAAGTCCATACCATATTCACAGCCATACGGTTACCTAATGTTCCCATGAGAAATTATGGTTGCATGAATATTGATCAAGACCAGCTGTAGGCTTTCATTGGAAAACAGAAACTGTCTTCTGCCCGCAAGAAG